TGTCCTAACACTTCTTCTACAAAGGCGAATGTTGTAACAGAATTTCTAAAGGACAACCTATCATTTAAACCGTAATGTCCTGTAATAAGTAGTGTGTCAACGCTAATGTTCTCTCATGATTCGCACTAATTAAGCTTATAAATTATGAAAACGCCCTTGAGTGAACATTTTTAGGAAAAGAAAAAATAGAAGCATGTGTATGCCAGATGAACATTAGAAAATGAAATATGTTATTGTAAGGTTGTAAAACAAAGGTGATTTGGTTAAAACGTCATAATGCACAACATCATTTGATAACGACCTTTTCCTAATCCATGAAGAAAAACAGCTGTATTTTAAATGCACTATATTGTTTCGTCCCCAGCATATTTTGTTGAGTAAGGTACTTACTCTACGCCACTTAGGTCGATTAGGTTTTGTTTTTTTTAAATTTATACAAGGGAGTAACGGAATACATATGATTATACTTATTGCGTCTAACATTTTTTTTCTAAATATTTAAATCTGTTATTTTCAAGAAATAAAAAACACTTTTTAAGACATTTCATTCCTTAGCACAATAACATACCACTCCCATCTGTTTACGTAATTTTATCGTCACACTTGAAGAATGTTCTCATGAATTGCTTAAATTTATGGATAGGTGGTTCCCGTTGCCTAACTTAAATAGCCTGTGTCTTCAACCAGGGAACTTCAATCTGCACAAACGACGGTCGTCAGCATAACGTAACTATCTCCCTGATAACGTTACGTTTGACTGTTGGTATTCTCTACACATATTCTTTCGTGTGCGATAGAACTTGAGATTGGCGTATAAAAAACCAAGAAACGCTAGCTACAGCTATCGAAGCACCTGTTTCGCTGCCGTCTATTTGGAAATCACGTGTCTTTTTATTTTCTCATATCTATATTTATGTTTCTTCCAAATAGAAAGAAACTATGCGAGAGTTGAAATAACCGATACTCACTGCAGAATAAGAAATAGTTCAATGGCGTTTACCTGTGTGACAACATAAATTTAATTTGTCGGAACGCTTATGATGGTTATGCTAACTACAGTTCCTGTACACGTGCTGTTTATATCTGATGAATGCATTGTGTCAAATATTGAATTTAATTTATGGCTTACACAACCCTATAAATATTTCCTATTTTAATGACTCGAAGTTTTATTGTTATATATATATTAATATTGTTATATAGATACATATGTATATATATATAAATACTTTATTAGATATATATGTCCTTGAAGTCAATAAAATACTCCAAATAAATTTTATTACAATCTTTAATCTTCTTAATTTATTTTGACATTAATATTTATCAATTTTAATTTTAATATATAAGCTCCCTACCATTGAAGACAACTCTAATTTCGTCACACATAAAGACAGACGGCGACTCTTTGTCAATATGATTTATCAGTTTTACGTTAATTAACAAATAACCATTGACGTATATATAACGTACCGAGTCCAAAGTTTCGGGGAAAGAACCGACCTTCTGTACCCCACCTCATGTTCGTATGTGGTCACATATATCGGACCCTTAGCAGATTTGAAGGTTTTCTGCTTTGCCTTTTGTTTAGCAGACATTCGAGATATAGTGGTTCCCTAACGAGTGATAGTTGGTTATTCTGTTTATCTAACTCGAGTTAGTAGATTTTCGAATTGTACAAAGACACCAGTTTTACCGAGTTTACAATTTCAAAATTAACAAACGAGAGCTAAATAAGCAAGATAATCAACCATCTTGAGATTAGGGACCTTTTTTTCTCTTTAACAAATTTGAGATGTTATATCTAGAATAAAACAGATTTGTCTTGGGAATACAATACTCCTGTTTCAGATCGGAGACATGTTTGCAATGAACTATGACGTTAAAATGGAAGTAAACGTCAACAAAAATTGTTACGTGACGTCATAGTTGGAAGGTTGGCCAATGTAATAACCTCCAGGGTGTTACCTACTAGTGGTTAACCAAAACTATTTTCCAACTCCTAGCAGACTGAGGAACCCTATGGTGGTTGTAGGAGAAACAAAAATAAATTGAATATGCTAACCCTATTCAAATGGTTTGGCATCCATCTGTTCTTTTCTCAAATCTTTTTCTTTTCGATGACTTCGTAAACACTGTCCACAAATCATCTTGACTGATACAAGGACATGAACCCCAAAACATGTCACGGCAAGCAACTATCAAAATTCTTATTTTAACATCATCCTTTTCTTCAAGAGCATTGACAAACTGATTAATCATGACTTCTTCTTTTAAGTACATAAGTAGTGCCTAAAGTTTACAAATTAATATTTAAGAATGTGTTGTTACAGCGTATTACCTATTTATCCGGAGCTTGATCAAACGACAAAGACCCGCTGTCTTTTTCTGCGTACTGAATTGAGGAGACAAGGTTTCGATGATTTGAAACCCGTTGTTAAAATATTAGAAATTAGTATATGATGTTATAGGCTGTGTTGACAATGTGATGTTTCAGGCAGAATGTTATAAATCTGGTTAATAACATGGCTCTGTTACACATTCTTTTTTTCTCCCCTACTTCAAGGAAATAAGCAGAGTTAGCAAAGCATACCTAACCAGATACTAAAATTCTATAATGCTGTGTCTGCTGTCTTGTTCTAATACATATTTCACATGATTACATATATTTGGTAACACGTGATCAGTAAACTTCTATTTCAGGCCGGTCCTTAAATGACCATATATTTTAATAGGACGTTAAACTCACCCAAACAAACAAACATATTTCTGGTTATAAATACATCGTCAAGTATGCTCATGTTCAAATATTCTTAAACCTCGCGTGACTACAAATACATGTAACAGCTGTTCAAAGAATATAAATGTTATATTTCGTATTTCATTACCTAATTATGCACATAAAAGTAAAATTATTAACACAAAAAAATCATCTGTAATATTTGATATACATAAGATATGTTACATACCAAATATGGATTAAGACGTATGTGTCGCTGATTAATGCCGTAGCAAAGATCGTGATAGTTGCCATCCTTCATCTGAATGTATTAATTCAACAACAACAATGTTTTCTTTGTTTGTCTGGTCTTCAAACATAAGTGAATTGTTAATGTAACACTGTGCAACTTTTCTCGTTCATATGACAGAGACGTAAACTTATTAATCATTTGACACGGTGACCCTATCGTGTCAAATCCATTGAAATTAAAATTTGAATGCATTATTCATTTTCAATTAGTAGGTGACAGTCAATGTTGATTTAATATGCGTGTCAGCGATAAAACTACGTATGTGACCTAGAGTATGGAATCATTGCGAACAGCCACGAGTAGTTTTAATAGGAGTTAGTGAATAACTAAGTGCATGGGTTGAATATATATACTAGACTACTGAATGAAGTGTCGACAGTGTGGCCACAATGAAGGTTCCCCGTACCACTGCCAAAAACTGTAACGTTACATTTGAGACTGTTTTATAAGACATAAGTATACCCTTTATTAATCATTTTTAAAAGAAAACCGTACCTTCCGGACCTTTCATGAATCTCTGAAAACATGAAGTAAACAAATTGTAATCAACTCCAGTGTTCCTAGTGAAAAGAAAGTACACTCAGCGGTGCTAGTTCGGGATTCGGGGCTGAACTAGCCAATTGAGCTACCTGGTGAACGGACATGCCCTACAGTTACAAAACCTCTCATTTATTATGGCTTGGATATTTACGGGAATAAATCCATAGGTATCCCTAAGGATCATTTCCTTAAGTCAAATATTCGGAGCAAACCACTCCTTTTTCAAAGACATAAAAGAGCCAGATGAAAACGTAATATACATTAGAAAAAAACCGATAAATACATAAACAATTGAAAAGAGCAGTGATTTTTTTTGCAATATTACTACGTACATTTGAAGTTAGTTTCGTAGTCCCGCTTACTCCAATGACGAACTTGACGAGTAATTCCAAACAAAAGTCGTTGAAACCAACATTGTCCGAGATATAAGTAAGGGTCAAACATGTAAACCAGGATATGACGCATTTTTCAAGAACTGTTAAAAAAAATGAATTCGGTTGTATATGATATTAATGTCGTTATCACAATTATTTAAGGTAGATCAATGCATATAGATAAACAACGAGAAAATATAAACACTTTAGTGATTTAATTAGTACGGGTCTTGACAAATGACAACTATGGATACTGGTTTCTCCCATCCTTCATAGGCTTGTCTCCCTTTTTTCTTCGGAAAGATCAGCTTTTCTCCAACCCTTCACAGTCGTGTCTCCTGTTTTGGCCGGGAAAGATCAGCCTGTCACCTCCTAGGGGGACATACATTGTAGCCTCGCGCCGATTAGCACGTGTTCAAATGTGACGTCATTAAAATGCGTCATCGGTAATTGTGACGTCATCAAAAATGAATGACGTTATGCATACCCTATATGTGCATTTGATAACAAACATGTCAGACTACTATAATATATGTGGAGTTGTGACTGAAATAATAGGATGGGAGAAAAATAATCTCCAGAGAAATCTCCAGCCCTCGGGGTGATTTTTTTGGTTGTCTTACCCTCGGCAGAGCCTCGGGTTAGACAACCAAAAACAATTATGACATAATACAACTATACAAAACTATTATGTAAATGAGGTCACCACGTAGGTCCTTGCTATGAGGACGTGACACGTTTTGTATTTGACCTAGATTGACAAGGCGGATGTCGTCGATGAATCAAAGGGAGCTTAATTACTATTCCAGAACGACTTGGTTCATTCTCCCTGTACATTTTCACGAGTGTCCATGTAAATCTTCCTTTTTAGCACTTATTTTGCCTTTGCCCTATTAAATTTGTTGTTATTCGACTTTCAAACATATTAAAAATGTATTATGTTTTACTCCTATATACTGTATCTCTACAAACGTGCCCAATGCTATTATAGCTTTCTTAAATTGAGTATATATAGATAATTTTAAAATTGATTGTTATCATTATGAATCCGCAGGTCTACAGCAGCCAACCCTTGGCTCACAACAAGGATTAAATCCTGGAGAATTTTCAGGAGCTGGTGGAAGTAACCCCGATCCGGCATCTCAATTCAGTGGCAGCACAAATACAGGTGGATTAAGTAATAGTGGATTTGTTGAAAATTCCGCTAATCCCGACATGGGCCTTGGTGGCGCAGTCTTCCGGTTGGGATCAGCCGAGCGTAATCTAAATCCAGAACTTCGTGCCAGTCTCGGTAATCCTGATTTCAGGATGAGCGATCCATCCGGCGTTGGAAACGTAGCAGTAGGGTTATTTAACCAACCAGTCCAACCCCCTAATACACCTTCCCGTGCAAATCATGTTATCCAAAAAGATCTGCAGGACACTGTTATAGTACATAACTTTCTGAAAGGAGGTCTTCAGCAAATGCTTATGGGTAGAATTGGAAATCAACCAGAAGTACGAAACATCAATCAGGTCAATCAAATTAATAAACTTATTAATTCGCCGAAGAAGATACAGGATGCATTTCCTGACCAGAAGCTTGTTAATGGCAATTCCGTGGCGGTAGGTTCTTCTGGCACTGCAGTCGGTGCATCCTTTAAGGACCCCACACAACACGCTAACGACTTACCTTCATTCTTCACTCCATCCAAAACCAAAGTGAATGACAGAAACTTAATAGATTTTTCAAACCATATCTGTAAAGGAAATCGTAAGGAACATCAACTGAGTAGCAAGCGATATTGGGTCGTACAGCCAAAGCACAAACCTCACCTGATGACCTGTCCGGTCGGCACGGAATTCACCACCACAACATGCGCTTGTACGCATGTGCCTACACAACCCAAAGGTATGGCAATTTCATACATGTATCAATAGAAGTACCTACTTGTTTTGTATAAATACTAATCAAAATGCATTTCATTTCATTGCATGTTAGCTTTATTTATGTTTTTTTCGTCATTTTTCATCACTTTTTTTCATATAACTTATTGCTTTTTTTTGGAATTAGTATCACTAGAATCCGAATCTAATGATAGCTAATAACATCTGTATTGCATGTAATGGTCTAACACCTATTTGAGTAAATCATAAAATTTTCTTTACAATCTTATAATATTATAGTAACTAATACCAACTGGGAGAGGAATTGTATAAGCCTTACGCCTGTTGCCTAATACCTTTTGAATTTGCATATAGAATTCAATAAAAATCTATGTGAAATGAAAAACACCTACCAGAGTAAAATAAATTATCAACTGAGATTATTGCTAAGATTCAATTTCATGTTTCATTTATTACCATACGATAACGTATTTCAAAGTTCACTCATGCTTTGTTTGTGTCTTGATGTTATTATGTTTTCCTTGCAGTAAAAACATGCAAACCTGATCTTATTAATACGTTTGACTATGGTATGGATGATTCGTCTGGCAACTATTTAGCACATTTTGCCACCAAAGACCTTAAACCAGTAGAGAGCAGCGGGATATTGTGTTTCAATGGGTCACAGGAGATGGGTTACCCGAGATATCGTAGCTATGACTTCAGTCATAGCATTTATATTGTGTTGCGGTTTATAACCTATGTTGACGAAAGAGATCAGTTATTCCCCTTGTTAACCAACTGTGAGTCAGACAAACTGACTGGACAGTATAAAGAACCATCAATTGGAATTGTGGTGAACCGGACCAACGACTTGGTTGTCTTCGTGGAGACAGAAAACGGCATGAGTCTGACATCCTTCGCATTCAGAGTAAGTAGAGTAAAATACAGTCTAATTTAAACAAAATCAGCATAACAGAAAAAATACATAGAAAGAAAAAGTGAACGTTATCAAAATTTCGCAAAATGTTTTACTATGAAACACCGAGTAAGTAAGTTTACTATATTACATAAAGCGCTAGTGTCAATTAAGTTAAGACGTCATATTTTAATACTACAACGGCAAGCAGGGTAACTAAATATATCATGTTATAATACAATAATGGCATGTAGGGGAACTGAATATATCATGTTATAATACAATTATGGCAAGTAGGGTAACCAAAGTTATCATGTTATAATACAATAATGCTATGTAGGGTAACCAAATATATCATACTATAATACTAACATGGCATGTATGGTAACTAAATATATCATGTTATGATACAATAATGGCATGTAGAGTTACTGAATATATCATGTTATGATACAATAATGATATGTAGGGTGACTAAATTTATCATGTTATAATATTATAATGGTATGTAGGGGCACTGAATATATCATGTTATGATACAATAATGCTATGTCGGGTGACTAAATATATCATGTTATGATACACTAATGCTATGTAGGGTGACTAAATATATCATGTTATAATACAATAATGGTATGTAGGGGAACTGAATATATCATAGTAAAATACAATAATGGTATGTAGGGGAACTGAATATATCATGTTAAAATACAATAATGGCATGTAGAGTAACTTAATATATCATGTTGTGATACAATAATAGCACGTAGAGTAACTTAATATATCATGTTACAATAATATAATGGCATGTTAAGTTAGTTAAGACGTAATGTTAAGACACTTTTAAGACACGTCGAGTTGGTTAAGACTTTTAGCTATGCTATTATTATGACATGTATAGTAAGAAGTTAAGACTTTTAGCTATGCTATTATTATGACATGTAAAGTAAGAAGTTAAGACGACATGTTTTAATACTGTTATGATATGTGGAGCTAGCAAAGACGTCATGCTATAATATAATTGTATAGTAGAATTAGTTAAGACGTCATGTTATATACTATTACGACAAGTAGAATAAGTTAAGGCGACATGTTATAATACTATTACGGCAAGTAGAATTAATTAAGGCGACATGCTATAAAACTATTTCGGCTGTAGAGTTATTTAAGACGACGTGTTAAATTACTATTACGACAAATAGAGTTAATAACAGTATACATTTAATAGTATATCTACTGCTTCACTCCAACTTCAAATGCTACTGAATCAGTGTTATTTTAACGAATAACCAAACCCTTCCTCCTCGAATTGTAAGCAGAAAAAAACCGGATGCCGTTTTAAAGTTCATAGAATACCGTTTTCATAACTGCGAGGGAATGTTTTTATTAAGATTCATCACTACTACTGAATACATATAAGAATGGATATACGTAATAGAGCATTCTTTTATAGATATCCATGCCGGTGTGACGTCACATCTATTATATCAATATATACCATAACACTTCGTTTGGTTTTATGTCATGTGAATGTAACTTCATTACGTTCATACCGGCATAAAAATAAAACACGTTCTTCCCGTATATATAACATGCAGCGTAACTTATGACGGTGTGACATTCATATATGATTGTAAATAAGTTTCTGTATGATACAAGAACCAGATACATGTACCAATATTTGAAATTTCACAAAAGTTTGAATGACTAAATATTCCGAAACATCATATAACAAAACACCTTTGAACTTTGTCACCTTGTCAACGACGTCATATTAACAAATATGTCTTCATCTAAAAACTCCTTGTTATGATGTCACAACAATAATGTCAAAATTCACTGTTGCATATGAATGCAATAGCATGGACATATCTTCGCTGCACAGCACCGGAGTTTTTAGGATATATTTCTCGTTGTTATGGTTTGGTATTATAAGTTTTAACATCTTATCAAGAGCTTAGGCATTTTAAGGACGTGTCTCCATTTGTGAAATGTATGCGCGTGCATGTGTATTTGTGTGCTGGAGGTACAGTATGTTGGTGTAATTGTCCCCGCGCCATTGGGACATAACCCATTGCCTTCCGCACCTTGGCGAACGTTCAACATAAAAGCCAAATTTGAGGTGTGTCCAAGCAAGGTACTAGAAAACAATAGCTAGTTAGAAGTAGAGAGAAATATAAAAATCTCAAATATTTCTACTGGTACAGCAGCTTTATTATGGTCGCTATTGTGTGTCTCTGCAGAGAGCAAGCCTGTAGGTCGGGTCTCGAGAAAAGAATACACCTCATACCCACTGCAGCGTAAGAGGTGACTAATGTGGACTCCCCTGCAGAATTGGAAATTTGTATTTGTGTCCTCTATTTGGGGACATTAAATAGATCTGCTGCGCCTATTGCAATATTCGGTATATTTCATTTCTTTGCCATATACAAATGTGGTGTATTCATTCCTATTTGAATTTTCGATAAAATAACGATATTTTACTACCTTTTAGATAATAGAAATAGAAAAAGATTGCAATGGTGGTAGCAGACCAATTTTGGTCTCTTCCATGTCCCTCAAAGAAAACACGACAGAAAAATCTCGATTCTGCAGGGCCTCGCATGAGTTGCCTACATATGCAACATGCAGAGGGATACGCTGGTCTATTCTTGTTTTCTTCAATGAACCCCAAACAGAAACAATGACAAAACCACCACCGATTATGCAGGGGGACCCGCATAAGAAAGAAGCCTCTTACGGTCATGCAGTGGGATACAGCAGGCATAATCTTTCCCTGAAACTGCATTGGTTAGGTTTTCAGGTATGCAAGATATCCCATGATTTCTGGATGAATATTCAAATAAAATACAAAATTTGAATGGAATATTTTTAACATTCATGCTGCTATGAACTATGGTATGATTAGTTACATCCTTGCGGGCTTCATGTTGAATATTGATTTGACCGATTTGTGTTTGAATGTTAACAACACCAGTCAGTACGTCTAGGAGGCACGGTAGTCTAGTGGTAGGACGCCGGGCTCGTGACCGGATGGTTGCGGGTTCGCATCACGGTACAACACTGTGTTCTATATTTGAGCAAGATATCCTACTCCGCTTTTTCCAGTCTAATCAACTGTAAATGAGTACTTGGTTGGGCAGTGCTAGAATTGTAGAATGGTAGCTGTGAGCTCCGATATGGCAGCATCGGCTGTATGCTACCTAGGTAGTTGAGACAGATATTGGCCGTTTGCAAAGGCCCTATAACCACGGATAATAATTTGTGAACCGCTTTTAGACGAACTAGGTTGTGATAAAATGGTTTATAAGAACCTCGAACTATTATTATTATAATTATATTAACAATACCACACATACATTGTGTGTCCATATCGTTTCAGGATATGACAATTAATTGTGCGTATGGATATATCGCACGATGGCTTTAACGAAAGTGAACTATACCCATTTACAGAAATGCAATCTGATTCCGTCAATAACATTTACAAAACGGCACAATAAAAAACCTTCGGTGTGTAATGTTTTCATTCAGAAAACTTTTATTGATCTTTTTCTTGGAATTTTCTTTTCTCGATAGCATCATATCTGTGTATCCCTTCTTCAATGCGCACATGTTGCCGTTGATTTGATAATCACGGGCTCGCATCGAATAGATAAACAAATGTCGAACATAAGTGGACCAACTTGCAACATAGAGTTTCCAGATGTGCAGGTTACTGAAGGCTTTTATGTTCTCATTCTGAAATATGTTATTTTTTGTGTAATTCGAACGTTGATGTTTTTTTGTTGTTCATTAGTGAGCTTTGTGGTTTTGCTGTCACTTTATTGATTGGGACCTAGTTTTACATGGTGAGTGTCGTCCACGATGCAACAGAATAAACCCATCCGGAACACCTTGTCCTTTTCCCCTTGTTCGAAATCCAAGTGATTCACTGTTGATATCAATATCTTCTTTGTACCCATTGGATATGTTTTAACAAAACCGAAGGCTTGTGGAAAGCTATTTTATTGGTTTCTTGGGCAATTGCAGGGCTCAAACTTTTCCTGTCAAACATTAATAAAGGTGAATTATGGGTGGTCGGGTGGCGCAGTGGGTTCGATTCCGCGATCGGACGTAAACAGGTCATCTGCCCGACCACGTGGGTTTTCTCCTGGTATTCCGGTTTCTCCCACAATAAGACCTTCCCACGCTATCATCCGGGTCAATAAGAGTGGTTTTTATCAGTTGAAATAACTTGTTTCATAATTGTTCTAAAATAATTAAAGTTTACATTACAAATAATGAGAAGATACACCTTTCTGCAAAGCTGCTATGCTTACCGTGATTGTTTGTGTATATTAAAGGATAAGACTAATATACATGTTCCTGTATTATCCGCAAGGTAGTACGTACAGAGCCTTCAATTTGACATGACATATTCAAGTGGTGAAGAAAAGATGTATGCAATGAAAGCAGAACCTTTGAACTATTAAGATTGTCTTAATGTCACTCTTTACAAGCTTCAAACGTTTCTGTAAGTAAATAAATAGAGGATATCTAACAGTATCTTCAGTAATAGAAACTATAGTTCACGAGTGTGGCTAATATTTTGATATCTTTCACAAGTGCGAAGCACGAGTGAAATATATTATATGTTTGCCACACAATTGAAATATATTTGGTATTACTGAAGACACTGTTCGATATTCTGTTTATTATATTTATACGAAAACCTACCCGGGATTGGGAAGCGACACATCAATCTGACAATACTTGATCTCGATCCTTTTACCAATAGCATATCTAGACAACCCAACGTGACAAAATATAGTCCTTCTGCAAATAACACTTCAAATTCCTTTCTTAACACAGCAGGAACTTGACTTCATATTTGTAATTAAGCATGCCAAATATTACCATCATAATGTTATTATTTAAAAAGAAAGTAACGTCATCAACTCAGATCACTACCCGTTGTTGACAAGCGCCGAATCTAAAATGGTAGGGAGTGGGGAAATGCAGAGTTGTTGTGATACCACTTATCCTTATGGTCAAATATCGACACCATCTATATAAGTAAGCTATACTTTATCGCTATCACTGTCAGAGAACCTGGTTCTCTGATACTTTCTGCCAATATCTTCGCCTACATCTTGTAACTTGGGACTTGGAGACGCTGACACCGTGTTTCATTTGGCACGAGACATTTTTCACATGCTGGAAAAATATCATTTCTATAGAATGAATAATTTCTAATATTTTACTGGTAAATGCGTAATAATTGGCTTTATGTTATTTTACATCTGGTAAGTGCAGTTCAGTCATTAATCGACTTGGTCAACATGCGGTAACTATACGTGACAAGACAGACTATTTCGAATAAATGTTAATTTGTTTTAATGATGTTTTACACTCAGACAGGTGAATGGAACACTGTGACACTTCATTATAATGGGAATATGTTCACTGCCTCGCTGAACGGCCAATCGGACGCCATTCCTACCACCGGTAATATATGATTGTAGCACGTGCAATTTCACAACATTTCTTTTATCTAACTACACGTTTGTTAATTTCAGTTTGATTATTAAACGTCTGTCTAACGTTGAGTGTAAATACGGCGTTGCCGACAAATGTATGACAGTATAAACAGAGCCCTCGTGAGAAAAGGGGACTGATCTGTGCGATTAAAATTCATGTTTAAAAACTTTGCTTCCAGGAAACATTGAAATAAGACATGCCCCGTTGACGATCGGTTACTGCGAACGATATGGCTATTTCGACGGATGCGTTGACGATGTAAGTGTTTGTAAACCGGTCAGTATTACTGGTATCAATACCATCTGAGTATACTGTAGGAAAGAGTCGGGTAAGCTCATTGACAACATCCTCATATTCACTCACATTTGCCCGGAACGGTAAAATACGGTGCAGTCATTCGTACGAGGTTGGCGGAACTAATGACGCTTCCTGAAGGGTAGCAATCGTATTGTAAACTTTATTCATCAGGGGAATAGACATGGAATCGGGATTTTTGGATTTTTGGTAACGTTAATTTTTAGATTTTGAGTCGATAGATAGCTGTAAAATCAAGTAATCAAGTCCCGGCGGATCGTTCTTTCGCTGTGAAGCACAGTTTTTCTAGAACACCAAAGTCAAAAATTGTCTTGTCTTTCAATGACAAAAAAACTAAAAGTGTGATTTCTTTACCTAATATAAATATCGAGACATCTTAAAGCAACCTTAGATATCGCCTTTTTCTGCGATATTCACAACTTAACATGAAATTCCCTCGATAATCGGACTAATTTCCGTTACAAGGGTGAATTGCATAGGTGACAACATTTTATATTCTAAGGAACACTTGTTTTGTTTATAAAAGTTTTTTTGTTTTTTTTTTCATTTTGGCACTTTTCCAAAGGAGACCAAAATTTGAAACAAATAATTGTTTCATTTTATTTCACAGATATATAACAAAGACCATCACGTTGGTTCTAGGACGGGAAAGATATGAACATATTAAATTACGGTTAATTGAGAGACTCAGACTCGTTTTCTCTTAAATATTTTGCCTGTTTGCTTACCTGTCAACTGAAAAAAACACAGTTACTGAACAGCATAGCCCTGCTTGTTTGGTCAAACATTCTTTTTCCAATTTGATTGTTGGTTTACGTCCCGCAATTATTTTATCGTTAAATCTTGTATATCATTGCAAGTAAAAAATGATAATAAAAAGTATATTACAAAACATTATCAATGCAATAAATTAAATTTATTAATTAATTAATAATTCATGATGTATATAAATCACTTTAAATTATGTGTTTGTTCTAATGTTATGCCTTTGTTCTCGTTTCAGATATATATATTTCCATGTATTCCTCATAGGGCATTCATTAACAGATTGAAAGGAATCGCATGAAATGTCATTTAGGATGGTTGGAGTGACAAACCACATTTAAATGTATGTGTCATGTAACGCACAAATGTCAAAGGGAACGACACAGTAGCAGATTACTTTTACCAGCTGTCACGGAATGTGAAGGATCACAAGGATCCCATTAGTTGGATGTGAAGTTGATATATAAACATAGATATATATTCTGCAACTAATATACAGCGCATTTCATTTTTATCTTTTTTACATGTTTACGTTTACATACATAGACACCGGATCATGTAATTATTTAGACTTGAGTCAAAATTAGAATGCCATGTTTTCAGTTTCTCTGTATATGATGATATTTCATATTCGTGAACATATTTTACGTAAATACAAGATGTAAATATGAACAATTTTAACCAATTAAGGGCCAACGTACAATTTCCAAACACTAGCTACGCATTGGACATATTTTGTTTTCAGTAAGATTTTAGCAAAACAACAGTGTTCTGGGTGTAAAGAAGACTTCAGTTGGGCTGAACAGGATAAGAATCCTGGACCTTGGGTATTCTGTCACTCTAACCACTGAGCTGCATGATCAATGGAATTGTTCTGGTCCTATTGCGGTAAAGTTATATCCAAAGCAAAATTAAGGGGAGGTAATTGTGTACAGGAAAAACCACAGTGGAATTCTCTAGTGTTTTGCCTGCATGCATTGTGGCATGGATCCTCAAGGCTTTATTTAAACAGTTATAACTTGGACTTAACAGAGAACGAATTTGTATAGACCATGTTTTGCACATAACATCAGGAAAACACCTGCGCATGTTTATACTGAAGAAAATTTAAATGTCAACGGGGTTTTGATTAACACATTTAAATGTTCGTGAAGAGGCAAAATCACTATTGTATTTGTATCTGATTAATACTTATGTTTGTTTGGTAAATAATATGTGTGTCACATATTTTTGAAAAAAACAAAAATAGGTTTTTTTAACTCTGAACTATGATGTTGTTGGGTTTTTTTGTCTTTTTTTTGTGTATGGAAAAAAACGTATTTTCGTTTATCCCACAAGCTAGGTATTTTAATATAATAATATTTAAATACAACTTGCGTCAATGCAAAACCTCGCCTATTATTACAAAGGGCAAACATGTGCTTTACTGATGGTATAACAGTACTATTTTGTTTTTGTTTTCTTATATTATATGGAGGATGAAATGAATTTCTTGTAATGTTGTTTTTTATTAAGTAATTGACATATCAAAGTGCGTTGAGTGTTCTTGTCTATGTATTTTTCTATGATATTACAGGTGTACTCGTGAAGTGTTTGTTAACTGGACTTTGTAGGCTTTTATTACTTTTATTCAGAAGTCTATGGAATTAAAGAAATAAAGGCGGCTCAATATTGGAACAGTTCCATACTTCATGGCAGTAAAGGTCCTTTGTAAAGACTTCAAATGCAAACAAATAACATCTACCAAGACACAGAACATCCACTAAACCAGTCTCGTGTGGCAGTGTCATCTCATCAAGAATCCCTACATAACTATTTTAAAAGACAAAAACTGACATGTTGCAAAGCAATCGTTCTATGATTCACTGATATGTTGTTTGGACATATGTACAATGTTTCTGAAGGTATACTGCAACATATTGGGCAGAGTCATCAATGTTCATGAAACGGAATGAATTCGTATTTCACCTCATTAAAGACTTAGCTTTAGAATGGTTGTCATTAATAACAGCTGCCATAGGAAAATGCATATCGGTTTAAAAAAGAAAAAAATCGACAGTTTTGCAGTGTAATACTATCATTTAATGACGTCCTCCTATATCACGTGTGTTAACAACCCTTGTGACGTCACAACGAACATACCATGACAATATAGCAAGACAGAATATATTACAACAAATAATGGCGGTATTTTCCCTTTAGTTTCCCCAGTCCATTTATTCTGAAACTGAGTTAACAAACAAATTTCAGTCGACCATTTGATAAATAGAATAACACATCTTTTTCACATTCAGTCTGAGCTGAGGCCAGAAAAAAACATATATTTAAAAGTAACTTAGTTTTTCTCCTGATCATCTAACAGAAACGTTATACTTGAGTTTGGTGTTTTTTATAAACCTACGTCGTTAGGATATAACTACATGTACATAAATTAATTCAAATAACGTTATGTAATTAGATACACTTAGGTGACATAACCATTCTCTGACAACTGCTGTATTTTTCTGTGATACATTGTTGTTGTACAGTTGTCGGTACATGATTGTCCAAGCCGAAGACGTCACGCTACCACAACTGGTACAATTTTGACAGTTTTTCAATGATTTTAAAAAAATTAGATCTTGTATCTGGAATGTTTAATTATTCTTGACAAAGTCTACCCATGATGGTTCATTTTAAGAAAAAGCTTTGATTTTAGTAATTTGTTTTTAAAGATTGAACGTTTAACTCGCATTGAGATTTCGTCCGTTTTTCGGCCATCATTAGTATCGTAAATGGTACACCATATCACAGGCTATGAAACTTGTTTTTACTTTTTCTAGTTGATGTGCCGATTGCAACAAAAAACATTGCTTTTATAAATACCATACTGAACTACAATCGTATATTTACACCTTTATATTACCCGGTTGTAAGGATCAGAAATTCACAGTTAAACATGCTTAAAATAAACTCCTTCAAAATTCCTCCAAATTTTCGTCGACATACGTCGTTTTTATTGGTTTCCAAAATATGTTTACTTTGAAGTCATCATGCACTCTTAAAATGTTCCTGAAAACCAAACTAGTCGGTGGAAATGCTGAAAATATTTCTACTGTTATACCGTCTGAGGAAAATACACAAACTTAATTCTAAAGTACTTTTCGATCAATGTTCTGACCGTGTACCAATTTTGGTAGCGTACCTATTGTGGTAGCGTGACGTTATTCGTATCCCCTCAGCAATCCAACAGTGACAACAGTGTTTGGAAATCCAAGTATTTTCAACAAGAGATGTATACAATTGTTAAAGTTCACGTGTACTTTTAGTCAATTGTTTTCTTCTTTTGACTTTTCCAATGAATTAAACCTTGACGTCATGTCGTCTAAACGGGCCTGGAAAGCGTCCAATTTAGCGTCAACTCTCTTCCATCGAATGTTACTGAGACCCTCCTGACAGGTGTTGAGCGTTCGCCCCTGTGAGGAAGGCTTTGGGTTCTGTCCCCTGGCCGAGACATACCAAAGTCTTTAAAAATGGTAGTTTATACTCCTGCTTAACGCTCAGCAAATTAGGAGTTGGACGACTGGTTCGCCCGTTGTCAGTATAATGTGACCGGGTGGGGCGTCCTGCTGAGTGTCTTCGGCAGGATGTTTCAGTGAGGTAGCACTATAAAGTCGGCATCAGTTCCGCGCTATCACAAGGAGACAAACACGAACATATCGCAGCCTCCCAAAATACACACACATACACTACACGCATGCATCTTGCACACAGGGGAGGCCGTCCTTAAATGACCTTAGCTGTTAATAGGACGTTAAACAAAATCAAACAAACAAACAAACAAACAAATCCAACGTCAAGAAAAGAATGAGGCCAAGGTGGCATAGCGCCACCTGGTGCATACGTAGTAAGTCATAGTTATTCCCCCTGACTACGCATATCGAAAGCTACTAATACAGCAAATTACTCATTTGAATAAATTTGCTGTTATAACTGTGCACAGCAGTACAGTTGAGGTCACGAATAATATTTTGCATTATTAAAACAATAACATGTTTAATTGCTGTTATAACTGCACATCAGTCCAGTTGAGGTCACGAATAATATTTGGTATTATTAAAACAAGAACATGTTCAATTGCTGTTATAACTGTGCACAGCAGTACAGTTGAGGTCACGAATAATATTTGGCATTATTAAAACAAGAACATGTTTAATTGCTTTTATATTTGAAGTCCCACACCATTCGTTAAAAGACAGACACATTTAATCACAAATGATTTCGCATCAAGGTGACGAAGATAGGTTTCTTACAAGTATTCAAAACTCGCATTTCTGATGTTTAAAAGATCAAGACATGTATATCTAACGGTTAATGAACAGTGATGAGCAATATATGTGAGTTTACACGAGCTTCTCCCGAAGAAAATAACTCTTGTTTATGGCGTCGTAATTTGTTACAGTTGTACAGTATATAAAGAATGCACTATGTTAAGTCATCATAATTTTGAAATTTCTGTATCGATGAAAAGGCACTCGGCGAAGCCTCGGTATGAAAATCTACATTTGATTTGATCTAATTTGAGAAAATATGATCACCTACTATCACGTTGTTTGCCACACAATGTAAACCTTTTCAATCTAAGTAAATACTGAATTACAACTAGTTTTAAATCAGGTCGTGGTGCTTCAGCCTATGTGCAGAACAAACTGATGAGAAGTGTATTGAACACCTATGTCTAGAAAAGCATGGTACTCGTTAAACATGCGTTGAAGTAAACAAAACAAACTTGTGGCTAGTAAGTCAAATTTTCAGATTAACCTTTTCACTTTCAGATTAACCTTGTTGAACTCTGCTAGTCTGTGTACTTTATTTTTCTATAAAATGTTCCACAAGGAATGTGTTTCTTTAAAGAAAAGAATCATTAAATCTTTTGTCATGCCAGTGAAAAATGAAAGTTACAGATGTTATTGGTAAACTGCATTAAACCATATACATTGTACACTACTAAATCTACTACAATGTTATTGATAAACTACAATTAAAAAAACACTTTTTCTTTAAAGTCAAACATTTGTAGTCTGCGACCTTATCCTCGCACATTTTTTTTCGTCAATACGGAAGTCTGAATAGTAAAAACAGAGACCAAAACTGTTTCTTACATTTGCATTGAAACAATATTTTCGCTCGCATGATACATCTGCTGTGGCGAGAATTGTTCATAAACACGTATTAATTGTTGTCGACATCTCACGAATAAAACAAATATTCATACTTTATTACGATTGGAATTCTAACTTTACCCGTCTGTTGACATGAGACAATAAATCAACATCGTCAAAACTAATACCTAATAATCTATTTTATGAAGTACATTTAATCTACATATATGGAGAATCTGAATATTGGAATTATAGATTATCACACTGTATTTTCAGTGTTTGACGTGAAAACAATTTGTTCATCGCGAGCACGTGGATATAATCGAGAGGTCACCGCAAGTGGATTCGGGATTTTATCTAAGTGCAAGCGATGAGAAAATTCTTCGAAAGACAAACACTGAAAATATTGTATGATAAACTATTTATCATCTAGATACTACTACTTTATATATTTCTCCATTCAAAAAACTCTACTAAATACCATGTTTTCCAAATGACTTCTAAGCTCAACGGTCAACGATCGCCTATGACAAACGTAAACAAAAAGAAGTTTTACTCGGAGGAAGGAATACAACGAACCTTAAAACTACGTAGCAAAAATAATTTTAAAACAATCATTTGCTTTTCCATATGTACAATTACACCTGAAATGGTGTTGTTATTCTGACAATATTTTTCCGTTACTTTGTTTTGATATGTTTATAACGGACTATTTTCTTACGCGGAACACTTTTGTGTGGACACTATTTTCGGACGTCATCTAGCGCGAGCAGACATTCGTTTTTGAGAAAATACGTTCCCAAATGCTTGGGAATGGGAAAATCCGTTCTCAAGTTCTTCTCAAGTTGTTCTCAACTTCTCCTCATACTGACAACCAATGATAATGAAATTATCATGCTACCAGTAGGTTGTATACAGTAGTATATAGATGATAATTATTAGAAGAAGAATTCGGAGAGAGGTGGTTAGATAATTACTCCTTGATCGTCGGTTATAAGAGGGTCTGACTATAGGGATATTGTGGTTGTATTTAAACTTTATGTTTTATTAATGAAAAGATTTCAAATTCGAATGACTTATGTCAGGTAGAAGCGTGCGCAGCCTTTGCCAGACAGCTACTTTTGTCACCAGGTGGATGGTTAAAGCCATTTTTACGTTATTATCAAGCATAAGCAAATTCACGAAATGTCACGAGAGCAGAATCCAACAAATAACATCTAGTCTCGCCTGGGTCAGAGGTCATGTTTACACAATAAACGTGCTTTCATCGTAATTGATAAAACAGAAGAAACGTGCCAACATTTGATAAGAAGTATTGTCATTTTAACGGGTCCCATTATAGGGCATGCGTGACATTATGTAAACCATTGAATTCTTAAAGACACGTAAACAAATAATAAGATTTCATATTGTTTTATTCCTTTTACTCTTTCACATCCTTAATGTATTATTAACGGAAAGGTAACAACTTGCTTTTGTAAGAAAAGTGTATATCACTTTCTTAAATCAAGTACATTATACATGTATACGTTTCTGTCTCAGCCATTTACCTCTATCTGTATATATAGCATGACCAACTGGGACGGCTTGCTACCAAGCTTTTCCATAGATGTAGGGATTTTGATTTTCCAAATATGGAATTTACTTTTTCCTGCTTATACATGTATCATACCAACCTCCCCACCGATGGTTTTTACACCTCGCAG